AGCCAAGGGCAGTGATGGAGGGAGACGTTCTCCACATCCAAGGGCTAAAGGAAGTAGCTTTGGCACAACTTTTTGTGATGTTAAGAGAAAGAATCAAAAAGAGGCTCAAGATTGTCACAGTGCTGTGAAGGCTTGTTTGTTCTGCAAAGGTGGATGCACACTCTCCCTGATAAGAAACCTCATAAGGAGAAGATTTCATTTCTTAAACAGAATAGCATCTATTTGGAGTTTGTGTATTGGGCACACCACCCAAGAATGCAGAAAATGCCTTTTGTGTAAAATCTGTGATTTCAGACATGCAAGTATGCTCCATATCTACCAAAAGGAGAAGAAAGAGGTCAAACTTCACAATGAGGCAGATCCTGTTACAATCCAGGCTAATGGTCTTACTGGTTCCGGTGAACAAGACTGTAAGCTTGTAGAAACGTATATCTTTCTGGACCAAGGGAGTTCAGCGTCCTTTTGTACAGTGGGTCTTGTGGACAAGCTGAATCTTGCTGGGAGGAAGACAAAGATTCTCCTGCACACCAAGGGACAAGAGAAAGTGGTGGACAGTTTCATTGTGCCTGAACTTGAAGACAGTGGCATCTACTGTGACATACCTGACCTCTTCACTCAGCACAGAATGCCTGTAGACATGGGTAACACTCCAAAGTGACAGGATCTGAATGATTGGCCATTTGCCAGAAATTAAGGCCCAAGTAGAGCTTTTGATCGGCATGAATATGCCCAGAGCCATAGAACCTTTAAAGGTCTTCCAGAGTGTAGGTGATGGACCTTTCGCCATTAAGACCATGCTTGTTTGGACAGTGAATGGGCCACTTAGTCAAGAATGCTGTGAATTGGCCAGGATGTCTGTCAACAGTTACAGCCAACAGAGTTTTTGCTGTTACACTGGACAAGCTATGGAAACAGCAGTTCAAGATGGACTTCCCTCAGAGCAGTCTTGATGAGCAGATTGGGCTATCCAAGGAAGACTCAAAGTTCTTGGACTTATCAAATGGCATGGCTAGCGTGCTGACAAGGTTCAGAAAAGAGCCTGTTGTTTTGATGTCTGACATCAAAGTTGTTTCACCAGGTGTATGTGCCAGAGGAAGATGCTGACCTATTGAGATTTACACTGATTCAATTCAATTCA